CAGTTTTCATGTTTCCGTTTGAAACTAAACATAATGTTGTGTTTTGTCCAGAGCAGCTATATATCTGGATTTTTTTTAGAGGAATCTAACATTTATAGTGTTGCTCTAGAGCCTGCAGGAAAAACAAAGCCAGAAAACAATCTGAGACATGAGGAGAATTACACAGGATGGAGATAGACATGTAATTGATAGGCGTATTAATTAAGAGTGGAGTGCTTTTAGGGGGAGGCGGACCTTCGGCTCGTTTTAAAACCGACGCGACCATGAAATTATAAGACAAGCCGTGTTATATTCATGTGTTCTCGTCTCGGTGCACGGGGTTTTATCGTGAGAATGCAGTGCCGTGCGAGAATGCTGTGGATGGTCACATCCAGCTCACACGAGCCTGAGTCCCCTTCTGGTCTAGTGAAATAAAATGGCGACGGTCAAATATGAACAATCAGTCAATCAATCAATCAATCAACCATGTTATTTATAATAGCCCAATATCACAATGTTCATTTGTCTCAGTGGGCTTCACGTTTTAACAGATATCAGGGATGACAATTACGACACCCTCTGGTCCTTAGACCCTCAACATCTTACAAGGAAAAGCTTCCAGACAAAACCCCAAAGTTTAAAGGGGAAAATGGTAGAAACCTCAGGGAGAGCAACAGAGGAGGGATCCTCTCCCAGGACGGACAGACGTGCAATAGATGCCGTGTGTTAAAGAATGCTTGTCACCACGAGCATGGGACCCTTCCGGTCAAACGTGAAACAAAAATGCGGCTCACACGAGGACTGCGACCCTTCCGGTCAAGGGTGCCGGAAGCGGGGGCCTTGGGCCCCCCCACTTTTCAGCCCTGCCCCAAATTTTCGCATCAGGTTGCCGCTGGAAAACTGTACAAAAATCCCGTTTTCAATAATTCCCCTCTACTCTAAAGGTCGCATCTAAAACGTGATCTGATCTAGCGTTTATATTTTGTCTATTTTTTGATTGTTATATTCAATCTCACTAGCTACAGGCATGTTGAGCTGTAAAGGTGAAGATGACAGCTCTCAGCCACTCTGCTGTTCCTCAGCGCCGCTCCCCTCCTCCGCTGAATTATGATGTAACGGTGTATAGTAATTATAGTAACCGCAGAGTCCGTTACAGTTTGTTTTATATCTGATTTTCAACATAAAGCAAGTCTTGGCTTTCATAATATTAACTTGTTTCGGCAATTCAGATGATAAATAGGCCTACAAACTTTGAAGCTTGTAAACGCATAATAACATGCGGGAGACGGAGTTAGTAATTTAACGGTCACTGCGGACAAACCAACCGGTGTTTCTCGTGAGTGTTTTCCCCGGGAAACAAACCACAATACCACACAAACGCAAAAATACACAAACCACACGAATACACGGGCGCGGAACACTACAAATCCGTTTCATAATTCCTTCACCAAAGTCGCATCAAAACGCGATCTGGATCTAGTTGTGTATATTTCTTTTATTTGTTTATTGTTTATATATTCATCTCATTCATGCTTGTGGGAACATGTTTCAAATGGGGGGTGCTTGGGGATGACACCAGGGCTGGTTCTGCACCAATGTGCAGTGCCCTCAGGCACAGATGTTGTGCAATGAAAAACCTCTACAAAAGGACCCAAATACACTATGAAAGAGGAACTATATACATGGTGGACGTTTATTATAAAAAATGCTTACATTTATTTAGTATTGACCATGTTTTAATGGGGGGGTGGGACTTCACATCCTCTAGGGGGTCGGGGGTGCCCCCCGGGAAGATTTTTTAAACATTTTAAAGTAAAATGCTTCAATCTGGTGCACTTTAGCGCCCAATTCACCTAAGAGACTGTCTAGGGGGTACACTTCTAAACACCATATGAACAAGCGATTCGGTTTGCATTTATTAATCAAATAAGTATGTGAACATTTCCAATAACATTCCATAGGCCAATTAACAAATAAATGTACTTAATTTTATTTGTGTTGTTCATTCCTAATTTATTTTACCAGTTAATTTATTTATTATTTATGCATATTTTTAATCTCTCCAGTTTTAAACAATATTTTGGTTTACTGTCCTATAGTAACATTGGAATGATTTCATGCCTGTTTATTATTATATCCTAATCTTTATAAAGGGTGTAACTTGGAAATATTTGTATTACATAAATTGTGATCAAAAGTTTGAGGACTCACTGAGATACTTAGACTGAATTAACTATCTAAACCCTCAGAAGTCCCTTACCTCACTGAGCCTCTCAGTCTGGACAGGCAGAACTCTCCCTCCACATTATTGTAGAAAAGCTTCTTATATCCGTTAGCGCACAGAAGCTACAAAACAATCCCCGCCGGTACGGGGCACCCCTCTTCTCTATCTCTTCTTCACTTTGGGCTGTGAGCTGCGGGCGCCTGATAAGCCAACATCCCCCACTTTCATCACTCAGCGCCATCGTACGGGGAAATGGAAAAATGTCAACCGCGGTGAAAAGGGTGTTATCTTTTTAATATGAATGTTGTTACTCAAGGCGGAAAATTCGTTTTTTTGTCTTATATTTGTATTATATTTGTGGAAGTGCAGATCCCCTGTCCTCCACCCAGGGGGTGCTGCGCACCTCAGCACCCTATTCCCACAGCCCCCTGGCTACACGCATTTGTTAAGCTTGTAAAGGGAAGGACCACAGCTCGCTTCTCACTGGCACTAGGCTCTTCCGGCAGCGCGCCCCCCCTTCCCTCCCGCTGAAATTATGAATGTCAGCATATAATTAAGCAATAGCTCACGACAGGGCCGTGGTATATGCTCATTATTCACAGCTAAGGGGCGTGGTTCGGCCGAAGCGTAAAATCACTCTTTATTTAAATAGTTTTTATTCGTAAATAATTGTATGATTCAAAATAAAATAGTCCCTCCGGTTGCTTCTGCAGCAAAACATTAGTGCGGAGCGTGGGCTGCTATGCAACACACTAACAGCTATCGAACATATTAGACAGAGAGCCGGTTGACCATATTTGGTTGTTTATTTACATTAATGTTTTTATATGTTGCTGTTTTATTTGTGCAGGCCACTGAAAAACTGTCCAGCTCAGTAGCATGCTTACGTGGTCACTTGTACTTAGGCTTGAGGGTTGTTCTAGGCTGATTGCTTGACGTGGCGAGAATATGGTTCTACTTTCTCCAGTTGGTCTACCTGCTCTTCCCGTAGCTCTGCATGCGTCGTAGTGCTTTTCTCGAGCATAGGCACTCTGACGGTCATATTTCTCTACTGTGTTTCAAGGACACGCATCATACAAGCTTTTGCGTGATGACTTTCCCAGTCGGTGTTGCCTGCTCTGTCATCGTTGCTTTGCATGTCCGTCGCTTTACGTGACTTTCTTGCAGGCATAGTCACTGCTTAATCCACTCCTCCATAGTAAGACTCCCCCGGAGGTCGAAGTTAATCTTAAATGTTTCCATCTTAGGCTTTGTAAGTTTGTTTCGTAACTGAAGAAATGCAAATATATTTATAAAACTGACAAGTCAAATCAAGCAATCTGATTGGTCGATAGTGTTTTTGCGGACCTCTTTGATTACAGATTTGAAAACATCGTTGCTTGCTTTAAAAGTAGCACAATTCATTATGTCAAACCTTGGAAAGTGTCTAGATATCCCTGCCCTAATGCCAAAGGAACTGCACACTGAATATGTTTTGCCGTTTGATGGACCGCTGCGTAAAAAGGAGGGTTTCTGCCCCGTTACTTCTCCGCTGCTTTCTTGTTCCAGTATGAAAAGCAAACTGCAGGCAGTTTGCTTTTCAGCCCATCGGTATACTGTTTTTCGTAGACGCGGAGGGATACTGACTTGTTGTGAAAAGTAACTTACAATTCTACCCATGGTATACGCTCAGTATATCACGGCTAAGAACCAATCAGATTGCTTGATTTGACTTGTCCGTTTTATAATCATAGATAACACGGCAGGGTCCGTTACAGTTTGTTTTCATCTGATTTCAAATAAACAAAGTCTTGGCTTTCAGAATATTAAACTTGTTTCGGCAAATTCAGATGATAAATACAGGTTTGAAGCTTGTAACGGCATAATTACAAGCAGAGAACGGACTAATTTAACGTCACAACAGGAACAACAGCCGGTGTTTCCCGTGAGTGCAGTAATCCAAACGAAAATATCTTCCCTCCGTAGTATTTTGATCATTTGCTCTGCTAATAATCAATCAATTGATGGATTCCAGAGAAGAGAAAACTTTAAATGCCTTTTTCTCAAAATGATGACTCTGTAACAGTCATTATATAATGTGACATATTTTGCTTAATATTTGGAGTAGCCTACAATAACAATCCTGATATCATTAAAAAGCTAGGAATCAAAATGTGTCTTCGGGTCAATGCGACTGATTTCGATGGAGCAGGTCACTTTGCATTAGGTCAAATAAAGCAGGCAGACATAAAACATAACAGGAACAATATGTAC